GTTTTTCTCGTTGCCATGTTCCCACCAATCACGTAGCTCCTTTTTCTGCCTTTAAAAGCAAACGCAACCCACAATTCCACTATTCGCTCCGACAAAGGGCTAACGCTCGAAACGTCAGCTTTTATAATCGTAACGGTGGCCAATTTACCATTTCAACTTTGTTGATATATTCGAATTATAAATACGAACGGTTTTGGTGACTTTCCTCAAATCTTTGAATCGATAATAATTGTGGTATTTATCAATTAACTTCCAGCAGAGTAAACGACAGTTTAAATCCTAGTGTGCAAGGAAAGAAAAGCAACGGCTATATTCGTAATCACCTACCTTGCAGCAGCTACTGCGACTGCGTTTGTCAGGAAACAATTCCGTGAATCTTTGCCACCAAAGCCACCGCCTATGGAAGCAAAAGCATCGTCAAGCACAAAAATATCTCCAGACTTCAGAGAGTCTAACCTCGTTCCCAGGGTCTCTCATCGTCCCGCCCCCGTGAGCACGAGAGGAGCGGGAAGATGAGAGACCCTGGGAACGAGGTCGCAGAGAGTCCCGTTCGCTGCTCCCAAAGTGTTGCTTCACACCTCAATTAGCGTCGGTGGCCAATAGTATTCTGGAGGGGAGGCATGGGTTCGAATCCCGTCAAAAACTAGTTTTTTTGTTTAGGCTTCTTATTTGCGAAAGCTTAAATTACAGCTCACCTCACCTGATTTTCAGACGAAGGTAACTTTATTTGGCCGTTTTCTATTTATTTGTTGCACTTGCCAATCAAATGGTAGGCCGTTTCGTAGCTAGGGGTCTATATTGAACAATTTTCTGTTCGCAAAACTAACTCTCAACGAATAGACAGATCAGACATGGTTTGATGCTACTCTAGTTTAATGAATGAATGTAACCGGGAAATTACAACTCGTAGACCCAACGTTTCGACACTCCTGTCGAATGCCTTTGTCAGGGGTGATGTAATCTTTGCAACAAGAGGTTCTTTGATATGCACACTAATTAGCAGCCCTTTTTCCTGACGAGGTCCAAATAGGGAGATAGACAGATATTTCGCTATGAACGACTTAGCAATTTCAGGAATAAAAGAGAAACTTACCAAGTCGTTTTGTTCGTACAACAACCCTGTTATGCGGAACTCCGAGAGCTCTTGCAGCAAGTTTCTATAAATACAAAAAGAGCAAAAAGTTACATAGATATTTATAGGTATAGAATCCCAGGTTTAGAATAGAAATGTCATGTGATTTCCTCAGGGATGATCTATGCCAGGCGCTGTAGAAACATACTAGACTCATTTCACAGAGAGTGTCATCTGGAACCAACTAGCTATTTGATAATACATCAACATGCTCAGCTATTTTTCCCATATGAATTTTATTGCCAGACTTGTGCAAATTGATGTACAGGAGAGATTTAGAAAGAGTGAGTTTCCCTTTAACATACCTGTGTCAATGTAGGATTTTGAGTAGAAACAAATAGTTCCATCTCGCCATCTTCTCCCTTTGGAACAGCGATCGTAACTTGAGTCTCGAGATAGAAGTGTTCCTAGCAAAAAATCATCTGTCTCTGAAGAGGTTGGGTATAGTTAGACGCATCTTAGGCTTTGAAGTCTTAGTTTAAGTCTAAATCCTAAACTCTCAAATAACACACCTGTCCTCCAAATCTCATCTCTCCCTCTAACAGATGTTGAGATTCAGCAAATCCAGTTTCCAGATCTCCTTTCTCAAAGCTCAGCTGGCAATCGTAGAATGAATCTGCGGCTATAGCTTCCTGTACAACATCGAGTCAATGATTAATGACTTATTTTAAGTATTAGCGCGCGAAGGGCTTGTTTGTTTTGCGATGATATGACCTGGAAGTGGTCATATTAGTACTTAGTCCATTGTGATCGCCCAGACGAAGGAAATAGAGAAGTCCTGGTAGAGTCACTCTGGGATCTCAATGTTGTCAAATATCAAATCAAATAAACACATCTCCAGGAAGGTGTGATAAGAGTGATAATAAATGAAAGAAGAGTAATAAATAATAATAAATAAATAATAATATATGAAAGAAGAGTAATGACAGTTGTGGTCACGCTTCAAACCGCGCTTACTTGTGATGCTGCTGTGATCAGATAGTGATTCAAGTCGAGATTCATCGCTTTACGTTAACACGAACCTGTTTCTAAGATGGCTAATTCCAAAAGTAATTTCAAACGCTTCCACAAGTAAAACATCACCAAAAATAGATACAGAAATAATAAACAATTATTGGATGAGGTTCTTGTGACATCCGGAGTAATCAAGGTCGAGACTAGTGAATAATCTGTAGGTTGCGCTGTTTCCCAGAATTAACTGTAGGCGTTTTAGCCAATGAGAAGACAGATGGTGATTACAATGTATAATAACGGCAGTAATTAGCACCTCAAAGTTCAATTCAAAACCGGGAAGCGTAAAGTTTAATTTTTTTTTTTTTTTTTTTTTTGGGCTTCAGGAACGTTGTCTCAGCAGTTCAACTAATTTGGAAATTGAACACAAAAATATAAAATACAAAAATATATAAAAAAAAATAGAAATACAACTTCCCAGCAATGTTGAAGTTAGCGCCCACCTCAATGGTCAGTATTTTTGGCAAGTCTTCGTATGTTACTTTCACCATCTTAGCTGCTCTTTGGGCCTGGGCCTGAGTTTCAGCAGCTATTGCCCCTATGACTTGACCGACGCAAGACACCTGAGACACACAACCATACATCATTGAATATTTATATTCCATTTTACGTTTCAAATCATTAGCAAGATACACGCCTTCTCTGTTGCAAAAATCTCCTCGTCATCTGCAGCATATCCGGTCACGTTATCTCCAGGGACGTCTTCTGCGCTGATGTACCCTTTCACCCCTGGGAGACTTAACGCCTCTCCTGGGTCCACAGAACTAAAAAAGAATATAGATCAATGTCAGCAGTGGGGGATCGAGGGGAGGGACACGCCCCCACCTTATTCTGGGTAAAAAATAAACGCAGAGGCAAGGAAAGCCGGCAGGTGAACACACATAAACAGAAACGCTTCCTTCCCCCCTTAGCTCAAGGTCTGAATCCGCCACTGGCCGGTATCTGAACAACTGTGCACCTACCCCTCTCCTAACCCAACGTTGACCCTAACGGGGGGGAGGGGTAGGTGTTCAGTTGCTCAGGTACCGACATTGATCTTGAAGGAAGTAAAGAGGGGGGGTGGAGTCCTTTTGACATGTAACCTCCAACTTTGTCATGAAAAAAGAGCGATCTATAACAAACCCTAATAGTGCAACCTGGTAATCCCCTACCTCCTCCCCCCTTTCCGGTAAACGCAAGTGTGAGATAATTCTACTTTAAAATCCTTCTTACTCAGGGTTACTTAATATCGCTTTGCTTAGTTCTCATGCTTAACGAAATCTAATTTCATGTAGAGACTCAAAAAGATGCTGTCAACGGACGTGACAGTGTACAACTAGGAAGAAATTCTGAAGTACTTACACAATATTGGCATGCGCACGAGTGCTCCAAACAATCCCCAAGTACAGTTCTCCTGTGAAAAGGCGAAAAGACAGCACATCAAAACAAATGACATATTTTCTTACACGGAAACGTTCGATGACACACTTCTAAATGAACCGAAAAATGGTAGAATCAAGGCCGAAAGTTATTGGTAAAAAGGAAAGATCGTATTTTGTGAATCATTCACACCGCAAAAAGTTACTAACATTGTTGATGTAGCCCCTGATTGAAGTAAATTCCACTCATAGATACGTTAAATTAATTTTTAAAAAGTTGATAAAGAAAAGTAAAAGGAAAAAAAATCACTAGGGCATTATCAACGATCGTTTCCTAGTGTTTATAAATGTCCAGTCATTCTGCTCAGTGGAATTGAAAACTCAGTATACTGAGTTCTATAGCCCGTTGACAATGCGCTACGAATACTGATTGAGGTACTGGGATACCAAGTTTATCTTATATGGTCACAAGGTTGATATAACTATACCTGCATATTTGGGAATGTCATCGCAGTAAATTGCCTCTCCTGTGGCTTGTTTGGCAGCTGCCAAGTGAGGCACAGGCCTGCCAACCATATCCTCCTCGAAGTGATCATCGGGCACCTCCTCAATCAACAA